CCCCAAAACCCCAAAACCCCAAAACCCCAAAACCCCAAAACCCCAAAACCCCAGAAAACTTATTTAAGACTGAGTTAAATATATTATCTAATTATTAATACTAAAGTGCACTTCAATGGAGAAAAGCTTGGAGAAGAAAGCTGAGCAAAAGAAAAGCCAGATACAAAAAATCATCGATGTCTCGACGCCTAGCCAGATGCTATGCCTGGCCTTAACCTTGATACTTTTTAGTAAGATTCCAGCCTGCATCAGCAGTGCAAATACCTATTCAAGGTTCAGAAAATTGGAGAACCCTAGCTATGATAGAGAGTCTTTGGAGGACTTCTGGATTGTTATCCCTTGCAGTCTTGTTATTAGGTTGATAAAGGTGGCGGTGAACAAATCCTCTCATTCCTACTTCAAGGGAAAGCTGCAGCATAAGTATTCTGGAGAAACATTGGAGAATAAAATTGTCAAATGTTCTAGAGGGATCTTCAAGGTACTCTATTTTACATTTACTTTCTGCTTTGGACTCTTTGCTGTATTAAGACAGACTCCGTTCGCATCACCTACGATGTTCGGAGATGGAGAAATGATGTATACTTTTGGATCCTGGCCATATACTGTAATGCCATACGGATTGAAGTTTTACTACCTACTTTCGTTCAGTTATTACGTAGAAGATGGAATCATGCATCTTTTCATGCCTCCTAATTATGATTACTGGGAAATGATACTGCATCATACTCTTACTGCTATGTTGATCTTTGCTTCTTACATGAATGGGTTCTGGAACATTGGAATCTTCGTGCTCATTCAAATGGACATGGAAGACATCTGGATCGGCATGATTAGAGTCGTCATGGATTACTCTTCCACAGCCGTAGTTGCAATCCTTTACAGTTGAATTATGATAAGCTGGGCCTATTTCAGATTCTACGCTTATGTCAAGACAGTTCTTCTAGGATTCTCTATGGTTGGAAGGCTAGCTACAGATAATAACACAGATGTCCAGCCCGTTATTAACCTGCTACTTATCACTCTCTTAGGGCTCAATATATATTGGTTCATCTTGCTCTTAAAAATGGGTATATGAATTCTCAAAGGAAAGCCCAAGGATTTGCAAAACGTAGTCACTAAGAAAGATCTACAGGATTAGGTCCATAGGCTGGTGCCAACCAGTAGGTGCTTATCTAATTCTTTAAATGAAATCAGTATTTTTACTATTCTTGTAAATTCGAGAACATTAATCTAAACCTTCACTTTTATCAATTTTAGCAATTTTGGGTCAAGAAAGTCATTTATTACGTTTACAATATTCAAACCTCTAAACAGATCTAACTATTCAAATTCCCAATCTGTTCAATCAGCCTTCCCTATATTGGGGTTTTGGGGTTTTGGGGTTTTGGGGTTTTGGGG